CCTTTTTTTTTCCTCGCGTTTTTTTCCAGTTTCCTTTCCGGCTGTTGTACGCCCATCCTGCGTTGGAATGAGGAAGAGGAAGAGGAAGAGGAAGAAGAGGGTGGTGGCGGCGCTACCCGTTGTTCCAGGCTTACGTCAGCAGAAACGCGCCACATCCCTCATCAATGGCTTGCCGCAGTTTCTTTTCCATCTGCTCTTTGCTATCATACGCCGGCAGCTTCAGGTAGTTTTGGCACGTCATCGCGGAGGGAAGCTGGTCCTGCTCCCGGACCTTGGGCTCCGAGGACGTCTTGCGGACAATTGTGAACTTCGGCCGCAGACTGGCAAGGCCGCCCACCGGAAGATGCACGGAGCCCGTGAGGAAGAGGAAGAAGCGGCGCTGCTCCTCCTCGTTAAAGGAGGCAATAATCTCAAACAGCTGCCGCACGTGGCTGCAGGTCATGGTGTAGCCGTGATCCGCCTGGCAGTTCGCCTCGAGGTCTTCCATCGTCACGAGAGCGGAGTGGCCGTGCAGCGCCTCATGCAGCTCAGCCACCGTCAGCAGGCGCAACGCACACAAAGGAATGCAGTCGTGGAATCCAGCGCGAAACGCCTTGACGACACGTTCCACTCCTTTGCGCAAGATAAACTCCGTGACGGCATCACAGTACTCAAATAAGTTCGCGGAGGTCACCGGTTTATCTGCCCCGCCCTTCACCAACTCAATGGCGTCGTCGCCGGGCAACGTAAAATCAAGCGACAACTCCTCCACACTGCAGGATGTCGCCGCTCCTGGCAGTTGAATGGTCGTGGCACCCTTGTGGGCGGCACGGGAGAGGGCAACGATGGACAAACCCAGCGACTCACTGACGTCAATCAGGTCATAGATGCCACACTCGTCCCCGCGAAGTAACTTCAGCAAGACCGGGGATAGGGGAATGGAGACGATGCGTTTGTCCAACAACGCACGGGCCAAAAAGCGTCCCAACAGCAGGAAAAAGGGCTCTACACGGTCAATCTCAGGCGAATCGGGCGGCAGCGGCCGCGGATACACCCCTGTCTTCGGGTTGTAATACTTTTCGTCTGGTGTTTCGTCGGTCCGGCGCCACAGGCGAAGTTTCATCTCCCGGAGTTCGTCCGAGACAAGCGAGTAAAATTCCATCGTTGGCCCGCTGCCACTTCCATTTTCGTTGTAGTACTCAAACTCCAGCAGGACTGTGTCATTGAGCTGTTTCTTTCCCATAATTTCCATGGCACACAGCAACGCCTTATCGCGCCAGACACGCTTCTTCATGCGGTGCAGGCGATAGGATCGTATAAAGTTATGATCCACGTTGAGTAAGTCCCGCATGCCGTATCTTTCCATGTTTTCCTGCATTTGAACAAGCGAACGGGCCGTGCCGCAGAAGCCAACCTCAAAGAAAAACTTTCGGGTCGTAGCGGCAAACAAAAAATTACAGTCCATCGCGAGATTCACCGCCCACGTTGTGAGGTGTTGGCCTGCAAGCAGAAGGTTGGAGCTGTGCCGCAGGGCCTTGTTGTTCAACCTTTTGTGGACAAACTCTCCGAGCGAGGTTGAGGGTGACCAGACACTCCCCTCCCCGCCATCCCCCCCAGCGCAACCCAGGTGGAGTAACAGTTCGCCCCAGTATTGCAACACCTTGTAAACGGTACCCAAAAGCGTCAGGACATCTTTTTGAGCGGCGGTGAGAAAACAGTTGCTAAATGGATATTCCTGATGCAGCGCCCGCATCACCTCCACCACTGCAGGTGGACGGATATCTTTGGAAGGCAATCTCACACGAGTAGCATCCGTTGGTGCAACGCAAGTCGCAACGGATCGCGACTGCTCCACGGCGTACTCCGGTCCAAAAGGGACTGTGCTGTAGTGTATAGTGATGGCTTCCCCCGCACTACGGCGCAACCCGTGCGCCGTGGAATGACGTTGACGGGGTCTACCACCGCCGCCACCGCCACCGGTGGAAGCAGTGGAGGCTGCAGTTGTGGTGCTAGTCGTCGTAGTCGTAGTGGCGGTGGTGGTGTTCGTGGTAGCATTTGCATTCGTGTTGGCCGAAGTACCACTGCCTTGGCCACTACGTTTCTTCTTCTTCCCGGATGACGACCCCCCGGACGGCGACGACAAGGGATGAAACTGTTGTAACACCTGCAGGATAGTCATAGAGGGCGGCAATACATGCGATTCATACCGCAGGTAGACACGTTGTTGGCTTTTTTCCTGCACCAACTTCTTTGCAGCCAACGAGGAATCCGTCGTTCCTCCTTTACGCAACTCAGGGAGCACCTCTTCCACTAGGTCCTCGTCGTCGATGCGCCGACGACCACCACTCTCTTCCGCGCCTCCAGAGATCACGTTGGAGGCCACAAACGACATCAAAGTGTCCATGCTTGTCAAAGGCTCAAGGCTTACTGTGAGATCTCGACCCTCAGGGGGGGCTCTTGTTGAAGTTGACGTGGAAGCTGCCGAAGTGGAGGCAGGACTCACGCCGCTGGTTCCACGTGTTGCGGAAAAACGCGTACTGCGCGGTGGCCCACTGGGCTCTTTTGAAGACAGGGCCGGAGGAGAACGTCGTGGCACGCCACCCTTTGCCAAAAGAGAAGACCTCGGCTTTTGCTGCTCAGCTGCGTGTGGAACCAGATGCACGGGGATGTGCGCATGGATGCTGTCCACATCACCAAAATTGGAGGGACGAAATTGATCCAACTGCGAAAGAATAGTCTGAAGGTGTCGCACGAATCGTGTAAGCGCACAGGATGAATTTGGCTCCTCCTTTGCCAGTGTTTTTACCAGGTCCACGACGACACGGACGTCATTGGCACGCGTCAGCGTTTCCCTCAGTGCGTGAAGGACATTGCTTGACGCCAGCTCAAACGAAGTAGTCTCATTCAAGAGAGCAAATCGGAGGGCGTCAAAGGCCTGCTGAAGTCGACCTCCCTCCATGAGACTTACAAACTCGGCGAGCCGCTTGATGTGTGTTTCGTCAGCAATGGAGGGAAACATGCCAAGCATACTCTTCGCCTCCTCCACAACAAGCTCGCGCCAATTCGCAATGGTGCGAAGTCGTTCAATAAGCGGGCGTTTATCCTCTTGCCGTTCGGAAACACGTCGCGAGCTCGCCTGATTCTGCGCTTCCGCCTTTATCAAGGCGTTGGTAACACCTTCACGCACAAAGGCCTGTTTATACACAATGGGTAGCTTTTCCAGCAATTTCCGGCAGAGGAGCATCACCTGAACGTTTAAGATAAGGCTGGGGTCTGCGATTGCCGAGACGATTAATTCACACACGGCCGCCTCTACGAGACCACTATTTGTCAACTGCTGCGGGGATGCCAGACACACGGCGCGGTCGATAAAGGCCAGGCTGTGGTTACGCACAATCTGCGTCTCCGACTCGTTGAACAGCATCACCATCTTGGGAAGTCCTCGAAGTATGGTGTCCAGCAATTGGGGACAATTTCTGTAGAGGTTCTTCCGCTCCGTATTCAGCGCGTCATCCACGCTCTTCTTGGTCGTCGCAGGCGCTGCTGTCCTGCTCAAGCCCGGAATTACCTCCAGCATATCACAGAATGTGTGCGACGCCGAACTCCCTCCGTGTTCAGCCCACCCCTCCAAGAGACATTCTCCACAGTAGTCAAAGTCGGTACATCTGTTACAGCGAAACCAGTCCCCAGGCACGCACAACTTCCCGCACTCGTTGCATACATGAGATAGATTGCACCTTGCAAAGTTGGGATTCTTTTCAAGCGGAATTCCCTCCTCCAGAATCCGCAAACGAATCTCGTCAATGCTGGTTCCATCCCCATCCTCCTCCTCCTCTTCCTCCTCATAGTCGAGATCTGGGGAGAAATATCCTCTACGATGCATCATCCCCTGATTACGTTCCGCCAGTAGTTCTGTAAGGATGTTTCCGTAGGCAAGGTAACCCTCAGTGATCCTTGGTAGCAGCCCAGCAAGCGCAATGCAAAGTGTCTTTGTCTGCTCCATCGTCAGTCGCCTCTCGCGAAGCGTTGTCGCCGTCGTCGTGGGTGTTGGTGCTGAATTTATTTCCGTCGGCATATCCTGCGGAAATGCACTCTCCCGCGGAATTGACGCTCGAAGCGTCGGACTTGCAGTGGGGGAGCCCCACTGCTGCTGTTGCAGCGATGGTAGCTGCTGTTCGGAGTGGTTGGTAATCAGCGCCAACATGCAGTCCATCAGGCCGCTCTCAATCACCTTCCGCGTGACCTCCGTGCTATACGAGATCGCCGCGCCGACGAGGGAGAGCGCCATCGTAAAGGTGCCCTCCGTCACGTCGCTGCGCGTGAGCACACAAAGAAGCGCCGGACTGACGTCACCGTAGGCCCGTGCCACAAGCTCCGGGTTTGCGCGGACGCCCGCAATAATACGGTAAAGGCAGGCGATTGCCCTGTCCCCAATCCTCCCATCCTCGTGATTGACACGCGCGCGTATCTCGTTCAGCGAGTCCTCAACGCGGTCAAACGTCGTCGCATCCACACGTCGGCACATGGCTGCAGCACTGGCCCACGCCTTGCGCTGCGACGAGGAGCTAAAAAAGTCCACAAAAGCTAAAAGTGCCTTGACCCCCCCATTCTGCAAACCCATCAAAGCGCCATTAGAACTCTGCGTAATTTTTCTACACACGTCATACACTGATCCGAAAGCTCAATATCCTTCACCTCCAGCAGGTGTTGGAGAACGGCATCCATGCCATTTTCTGACCCAAGCACATAAACCGTAGAAGATATGGCGTCTACCATGTAAGTCAAGACACGTGCGGCCAATAACATCAAGTCCACATTGTGCTCCTTCTTTAAACAGGCCAATATAGGCGGAACAAAAACACTTGGCCGTATGGCTGAAATAGTCACGGAAGTCGCCATGTTTAGTAGATTGCATAGATTCATCAGCCCTACCATCTGACGTTCTTCATCCTCGCTAATGATGTTGTCGCGCGTGGCCACTACTTCCTTCATCGTCTTGCGCTGATCCACGCCGCCTTCCACCTCCATCAGAATGCGGTTGAAAAAACTCTCCATTGCTGACCCCTCGCGTTACGCCGGTCTCGCACTCTTCGGCGTGTGTGTGGTACAGCTGTGGCCCGCTGCCCGCACCCCCACCCCTCTCTCAGCCGCCTGTTTGTTTTGTTCCTGTCCTTACCGCCCTCACCCTCGCCTGGGTGCCTCTTTTTTTTGTTGTTGTTGTTATCTTTTCTTCCTGTATGTCCTCCCTACCCCCCTTCAGGCTGCGCAACTGCACCAAGTTTTCTCCCTCGCTTCTCCCCGGTTCTTTGCTTCGCTTTCTTCCCTGGTACTCCAGCCTCTTCCTTTTTTTAAATTCCTTTTCCCCCGGCTACCCGCTGCTTGTGTGTTGCTGCTTGGTGATGTGTGTAGGCTGCCTCTTTTTGTTTTTGTTCTGTTTTGCGCGCCTCCGCTCGGGCCGTCCGCGCAAGCCCAATATGGAGCGTGAGCACTTACCAGAGTTCTTGCGACGAGGGAGAGAGCAAGAAAGAAAAGAAAAAAAAAAGAGAGAGAGACTCGATGAAGCGGTGGTGTGAGGCAGGCGGGAAAAGCAGCAGAGACGCCGTCGCAAAAACAAAACGAAAACAAAAACAAAAACACAAGACGGGAAGGTTGCAGGGCTTGAGCGAGAAACGGTCTACCAGAGGCATCCCACCGACTGCACAAAGACGTGAACACGGTTCACGTCACGCTAGGAACTCCACGCACACACACAGGCGAAGAAGCACGGAAGTAGAGCAATCTGTCTCTACACATGAACTTCCCTTCGGCCGCGCCGCCAACCCACTATTCCCCTTTTTTTTAGAGCAACAGTGGCACGCGTTAACACAATCCCAAAAACCACCCACCCCCACACCCCGCACAGCCCGCCGCACGCTCTTACTACTGACGCCTATACTATAACTTCACGTATGCAATAAACTAACCTATCATCCTCTCTCTATCTCTCTCTTTACTTCTTGAGTGAGTTTTCTTCTTCTGTTTGTGCGTTCGCGTCAGCATCATCTTACGCCTTTGCGGCTTCTGCTGAAGCTTTGCGCGCCTGCTCGCGGCGAATCTTGCGCATAATTTGGTAATGCCAGTGTTTATCAAAACCCTTCGCCTTGGCGGCAGCATACTCCTCGCGAGCACGCGCCTCACCTCCTACACCCCACGCAGGCATCCGCATCCCACAGCCGTCATCGTCGCGAAGCCACTGCTTCTTTGGCCAATTGAAGACAAAGGGTCCGTAAACGTATCGCTTAAAAATGGAAACTTCTCCGTCACGACGAGCATGGTTCCTTCGCTGCACATAAATAGAACGATCGTACGACTCCGCACTCCAATCAAGCCACGAGAAAAATGCTTTGCCCGCTTCACTTTTGGGTCGATCACAATACCTTTTAAAATAGATGTCTTTGTCATTTAACCATTGAAAATGACACATAAAGGTGTCGTCGTACTTGATGTCTTCAATGCTCACCAAGCCCCCACGACTGTAGTAGGAATAGACCTCCATCATCGTGGGAGGGATTTGGTACAGAAGATACATCACCGCAAAGGGGATCCACACAGTATCAAGGCCGGTCATTCTGTTGAGTCTAACTGCGTCACACTACGAAGCTGTATTCGCTTGTAATATAATTCTAATGCCTTGTCGCACGCAGAAGTCCTGCTGGCGGAAGTACTGCTGTCCGTGGTGCCAACCCCAAGCAGGAGGAGGGAAGTGCGCAAAGACATGCATAAAAAAAAACACACCCGTGGATGGGGGGGGGGAATAAAAGGAAAAGCAACCGAAAAATCCAAGGAAAAAGAAGAGAAGACCAAAAAAAAAATGACTAGCAGACTTCTCAACCAAAGCATGCACAACAACAAGTAACGGGGGGGAAAAAAATGAAGTCACCACCATCCTTATCCGTGTCATCGTTTGAGCCTCCCTCTCTCCCTCTCTCTTTCGATTTAGTTTATTGTACGGACACCGCTTCATTGAGCATTGAAGAGTGGTATTCAATACGGAGACTGTCACAGCACTCATCAGGTCATGGCGGCCATGCTACGTCTTACCACAGCCTCTCTACATGACTGTGAGACTTACTTCCCCCTTCACCACCTCCTTCTTCCCCCCCTCTCGTTTCCTTGCGGTTGCTGTTTCCTCTCGTTGTGTATGTCTCTGTATGCGCCACACTCTCCCTCTCCATTAACATGTGCTGCACTCCTGGTCGTTATGCCTCCAACCCCACAATGTCTACAATGGCGCTGCCGCGGATGACTGTTGTGCCAAGAGGCATCTTCTCCCCGTTCTCTTCTTTGTTGGGCGAGTGACTTTCATCTGTGGCGTTAAAGAGGACAATGCTCATGAAGTGATCAACGCCCCGCAACTCTCCCGAGATGGAACGGCCGCCGTGGAGCTTCACCATAACCCGCTTCTCCATGAAGTGGTTCAGATTAGGAAGGCTTTTCTTTGGCGGCATCCTGCTCTCGTAGACAAATGTACGAGTATGGGTGTGCTTGCCACCTCTGGGCTTCTGCTGTTGCTGTGATTACCACGACGGTCTCTTTTGCCGCCTATTTCGCAGACGACACTGGGCGGGATGGAGAAGAAAAAAAAAGAAGAGGGGGAGAAGAAGAATACAGGGAGAGGCCACTCAGAAAGGCAGTAAGCAACAAACTGATAGAGTGGTGTGGCGCAGCGTCCACCTTGTAACCGTTGTAGCAGCGTCAATACATGGCATGCAAAGGGCACGAGAAAAGGTACAACGACTCCAACATTTTACAAATTTATGCAATTTGTCGCAGTAACACGCGTTTCACCTTCGCTTCTCACACACTCTCACTCTGTATCGCCCGCCCACATTCGTTTCCTGTCTCGCTTCATAAATGAATAAATGAATGGAGAACTGGGGAGCCACAGTTGCGTCTTGCGGTTTTTCCCCTGCGAAGCTTCTTCCCCCTTGCTTTCGTCTATTGGCCATTGTCGTTGTTGTTGTGCATTTCTTCTTACAAACAAAAACAAAAAAGAACAAAACAAAACAAAACATCCACGCCCTATTTGCTTCTTTCCTCCTTCACTTTCCTTCTGTTCCTGGTGGGAAAGGAGGTGGGTGGGATGGGCATTTCCCTCGCTCAATGCAAGAGTGGAGCCAAGCAGGCGGTGAGAATGTGGTTGTGGTTGGTGGTGGTCTTTTACATAGCTGCATACGCAGACGCGGGTCATTGACCCGCCCTATTCCTCATCAAACTCAATTCCGTCTCCAATCTCTTCTAGTAGTTTGCGCCGCTGAACTTCCAACTCTTCGTGCGACTGCATATCGCGGCTTTTTTCTTCCGCGACAACAGCCTTGTATTCATCCGTCATCGCGTCCAGAGCCTCCTCCACGTTATCCGACTCCCTTGCGGCGCTCTGTACTTGTGTGCTGCGGCGCTGCCGCTGCTTCGCCAGCGCACGCTTCTCCTTCACCGCACGGTCTAGGTTCTTGTCACGGAAGCTTTCGTTCTCAAGTATTTGACCAATGACGACCTTTTCTTCCGCCGTGGCGGTGTAAAGTGAGGGAGAGAGCTCCAGCAGGGTCACGTTGCCGTCAATGCCGCCGGCGGCGATGTGTTTTCCCTCCACTGTGGGCTTTGCCGTGTGCAAAGCGTAGTCGGAGACCTGAACACTGAGGGAGGGGGTGGACTGGCGCAGCATCAAGTCCCAGAGATCCAGAAAACCGTCCATGCGAGTGGTGAAGAATACACCAGGGCGCACAGGGTGCCAGGCACCGCTGGTAATATATGAATTGTGATAGAAGGTGCTAAACAATGGCGTAAATTTAAAGTCCTCAAACCACATCCGTGCCGTCCAGTCACCCACGGAAAGGAAGTACTTGGAAAAGTACGGGTGCCGTTGTACAGAGTAGACTGGACCGTGATGTGCATTGAATGTGTTGGGGCCAAGCTTGTCCGCCTGTGTCTTGCCTTTACGATTACAGGAAAGAATAGTACCCTGTTCCGTGCCAATCATGTACTTTGAGGGACCACCTACCTGAGGGTCGTAGTCCAGACAAAGACCACCCAATATGCCCTTCGATCCTCCCTCATTGTTTTTGGGCAGCAGCGTTAGAGAGTCCTCTGGAAGTTTGTGCAACTCAAGCGGTTTGTCGGGGATTCGGCAATCCCAAACATACACCTCACCATCCGTGGAGACTGAAAGTAGTTCGCCTGATTTACTCTGCAACCACTTGATAGACCACACGGGATCTTTATGACTCTCTTCAATAAGAGAGCGGGCGGCAGGGCGTGTCGGCTGCCGCGTATCCCAGTACTGTACAACGCCATTCCAACTCCCACCAGCGATGATATGTGGATCCTTCGAGTAATGTTCAATGCTGCACAATGGGGAAGGGGTCACCAGCGTCTCAACCGGCGTGTTCGGATTCATAACATCCCAAAGGTACGAGTTTGTGTTCATTGTTGGGGTGTTGCCTTGAAATCGCAGCCGACAATAGGCCACCGCAAACCTTCGGCCGTCGTTTTGCCATGAGATCGCCGCGGCTGTCCGCTTCTCCGTGTTGGGGTCTTTAAAGACCGAGATAATCTTTGCAGCGGCAGGCCCCAGCGACTCATCCTCTGGAGGTGCACCCTCCGCGAAGTAGGAGCCGTAAATGTCGATGGCGTTGTTCTGCTTAATATACTTGTCCGTGCACTGCTGAACGAGGCGACGACACGACGACAAGTAACTCTCCTCGCGCTCCACCTTTTTGCAGTATTTCATTTTTTCCTCGAACTCGGTGGGGTCGACGCCGTGCGGCCAGCCACCCTCGAGGTGGGACTGAGCGCGGTGACGCAGTTGAATGCGCTCCGTGTTGGTGCTTGTCTCTGACAGTGACGGCACATTTTGAATCTCCGTCTCGCAGGGGTCAAGTTTGGTGTAATAACTCTTCACCGTGCGATTCGGTGGAATGTCGCTGAGGATCTCTCCCTCGTTGGCATGAAACTCCGGCATCCGCCCAAACTCCCTGCGGGGCCGTGAGTAGCTGTACGACACCTCCGTCATTGCTGTTCAGGGCGGCGGCAGAGTCAAAGTTGGAGTTCCCCACGGAGAGAGGTGCTGTGGTGAGTAACGGCGAGGACGCAAATGAGTCTGGGGCGCTGCCTGCCTCCTTTTTTTCCCCTTTCTTCTTCTTCTTGTTGTTGTTGTTATTGTTGTGTGTGTGTGTGTGTGTGTATTTGCACTTTGTTTTGTGCTGGCGCGTGTGCCTCTGTCCCCTTCTTATTGCTTCCTTCTTGTCCTGCGGCTGGTGGCGGCGCAGCCCTCAAGCGAGACTAAGGCGTGCGTGCGTGCGGCGCACGGGGGCGGAGGAGAGGACGAGGACAGAGAAAAAAGAAAAACAAAGAACAACAAACAAACAAAACAACAATGGCGAGAGGGTAGTTGGAAAATGGGAGTCGGAGGGGACCGCGGAGACCAGCAGCGCAACACAAGTTTGGCACAATCCTCCCTCGCTTTCGCTCTCTCTTTCGCCGCCCCACCTCCATTTTGGGCGAGAAGCTGCAAGCAGCACTTCTCGCTCTACTCCTTCGTCCAGACCTTCCGCTTGATTGTGAAGTCCTCGCCGCCGGCGTCCTCCCGCGGCTTATACACGTAGGCAAAGGAGGTCACCGTTTTCTCTTTGATGTCGAGTAGCACAAAGGCGGGGTCCACGTCTGGATGTGTGGGGGTAAAGGCCCCAGTAATGGAGCCGGGATTGACGAAGAGGTGGCCGTCAAACTCGAAAGTTTTGCAGCGGTGGGTGGCGCCGGAAACGAGGACGTCCACGTCCATCTTACGCTGCACAATCGCCAGGGCATCCCTGTCGCCACAAGGCACCACCTGATGTCCGTGAATGAGGCCAATCTTTAGGTCCTCCACCGTGAGCAGGTGTGTCTCCTGCAACTGGGGGTGGCTCCAGCGGTCAAACTCCCCCTTGGCGCAGTACACCTCCGGCGCGATTGTGCGGAAGTAGTCGTGCATCTCTCGACAGCCGGTGTTCCCCGTCATCAACACCACGTTGATGCGTCCCGGGGCTAGCATGTGGGTGAAGGCCTCCGGTATGGCCGCAGCGCGCTGTGGGACGTGCAGGTCGCCAACGACGAGCACCAGCACCATTTTTTTTTCCAACACGCAACTCACAACTTGCACGCCCGCTCCTCGGCGCCCCTTGCGAGGACAGTAGTGATAGTAGCACACTGCTGGCGAGAATAGCAATGACGACGATAGCAACGGTGAATGCGGCCCGGGCTCGCCGCTGCGCAACGAATCCGACAGAAATGTACGGGGCACCAATGAAAAAAACAACAACACCGGGCCAGAGACAAACGCTACTGCCACCAGCCGGCCCAGTCACCTACCAAAGGGAACAAAACACGCTGGGGAGGAGGGGAAACGAGGACGCTAGTAACGTCAAGAAGAATAAATACATCAACGTAGCGGCAACACCAGAGAGCAGCCAAATGCGGGGAAAAGAAGATGATAAAAAGGGCAATAAGGGTGTAATCCACTAAAGCAAAAAAAAAATACGAATAAATACAAGAGTCACATTTATCCAAGCATACATAAATACACAGCTACAGCAAACGGATGTCAATGAACTGTGGCAATTAGCAGGAGCTCTTCAATGTTGCCGGCCTCACAGCTCTTGTACAAGCAGTCCAATTCACACTCCCACCGCCTCTGCGGCGCGTGCCTCACACAGAACCTCCTTTGCCTTTTGCAGCTCCCCTTCCTACGCCTCTCGCACCAACACCACCACCACCATGTTAGGGCTTCGTCACGATTGTTTGTTTTCAGTGTGCATTTATCCTGCACGTGCTCTACCATCAGT